ATCCTGATGGCTGAAGAGAATAAAATGAGATGCGAACTCCCAGGCAGACCTTGATGTAGTTGGATTTCAAGGCACTGAGAAACACTGGCACCCTTCCCCCCCTCAAAAATACCTTCTCTCTCTCTCTGGGCTCCCTCTAGCCCCCCATTCTACCGTTAGAGCTTCATTGCTTTGGCTTAAACAAAACTGGGACCCGGTGCTTGGTAAAAATGCAACTTTCTGTTTGTGGTCAGAATCCTAGCAAGAAAACAGAAGGCAGACTCAAAAGGGTTTAACTGCAAATTAAAATAAAAGAAGACAGTGACAGGACTATTGACAGTGAAGTGGGCAGGATGGAAGGAGCCAGCAGGGATGGTGAGGCGCGCCAGGGTGTGTGGTTGCAGGCAGCGGGTAGCACCCTAGGGTGGAGGGGCCAAAGGGAGCCTGGTAAAAATGAGCTGTGGAGGACCGAGGCTGTGGAGAGACAGCCACTGGCCAGTGATGTGTAGCTCCCCTGCCCTCAGCTCTCCCCACAGTGCCGCCCACTGGCCGGCCACTCCCCCACCCCGCCCTGGAAGCCAGAGGGTAAGGGAGGCCCCAAGGGGCCAGAGTCCCAGGGACAAAGAGGGATAAAAAATGGATGTGGGCTGAGGGTAGAGGAGCGAAGCGAGAACAACAGGCCTTGAGGAGTGGTGTGTTGGAGTCTTATCAATCACGGACAGTTCAGCATATACGATGTCATCAGATCCTTTAATAGACCGAGGGGTAAGAGACCAGGGTCCTGAAGATGTCGGGGGAAAGAAAAAGAGCGTCAGTGGCAGGGAAAGGATACCTGCCCCCCCACCCCAAGAAGACAAACCTTGCCTTTTCCCTGTGTAGTTCTAGAATTTCCCTATGTCCATAAGCTGCTCCTGAGGATGGCAATCGGACGGATGGGACACCGCTGTTTCCGGGTCCGAGTAGGTAGGGGTGGTGCTGAGGAGGACTGTGGGCCATTAAGTCCCTCCCCTGTCTCAGCCGTCCTTTTAGCTCCTGAACAAGCCTTTGTCATCGCAAGACTGCGGGACTGCGGGGAGCCTAAAAGAGGCCAAGGTGAGCAGTGATCCTGTGATCCTGTGATCACCTGGGGGTGGGGGGTGATCTGGGCGATATCCTTGACCGTAGGAGCCCCCTCACCGGGCCCACCCTGGGACCCGTGGGCCACACTGTGGGAACTGCAGCGATTTGGATAGGTGGTCTTCAAATCTGGATCTGGGCCGGAAGGCAAATGGGGTCAGTGGCTAAGGCTGTGTGAGGGCAGCAAAGAGGGGGCACAGGGACAGAGGAAGGGGGCCCGAGCACGGAATGACGCTCCTTTGGGGATGAGAAGGGCCAGGGGTCATCAGGGGCCTCAGCATTCCAAGTAGGATCCAGGGAGCAGGAGTAGGGGCATCACCAGCGAGCTTGCTGGAAATAAAAAAGCTCAGGCCACACCCCACGCCTACTGAATCAGGATTTGCATTTTCACAGATCCCTATGTGCTTCTCATGTTTCCTCCAGTTTGAGAAACCCTGTTCTAGCCCGCCCTGCTCAGGTGAGCCTGCTGCTCATTTCCCCTTAGTGCAGCTGAGCTCTTTTCCCTCAGGCCTTTTTCCCTCAGTAAGTCATTCAACAAACACTGAATGACTAGTCCGTGCCTGGCACTGGAGATACAGAAATTAGTAGTGGGCAGAGAAGCAACTAGGAAACTGCAACCCATTGTGGAAAATGCTACAATAAGGATACAGTGTGGCAGGTGGAGGAGGACCCCCAACCTGTGTGCTGTGTGTGTGTGTGGCCAGGGCATGCTTCTGGGAGCTGTAGCCCTCCACCCTGCTCCAGACCTCAGCACGACTCACTCGGCCCCAGATCCTCCTCCTCTCTGTCTTTCACTGTTTGTGTGTTCAGTTTCAATTCATTATCTAAGTTGTGCTCCTCTTGTTTCCTCCCGTTCTAACCCCGAGTACGCCCTAAATTCGAAATGTGAGAGGATGAACGAATGGGTGGATGAGATGGTACTGATTATAAGTACCCTAGGTAACAGTGAGACCCACTCCACTTTCCTATCATCCACATACCTGCTCTGCAGACCCCCTTATCCATCTCGTCCTGTCTGTATATGGTTTTTGAAATGTGTTTATTTCCTCAATTGCATAGAAAGTGGTTAAAAAGCACATGTGTAAACCAGGGTTCAAATCCTGGCTTCATTATTTACTAGGTCAGTGACTTTGGGCATGTTTCTTTATCTCTCTTGCCGCCGTTTCCCTACCTGCCACGTGGGGATAACAGGAGTACTACCCTCATAGGGTTACCAGGGGGCGGGTGTTGCATGAGTTATCCGTAAAGCGCCTAGGACAGTGCCTGGCACTTGATAAGTGCCATGAAAGTGTTTGCTCTTCATGAGAACTTGCTCTGCGCTGGGCCTGTGATTCCTTTGCCTGGTCTCAGGTAATTAGGGAAGCCAAGAGTGTCCTCTGTGAATGGCACACAGTGGGAGGCTGGTCTTTCCCACACACACACATCAGAGAGTCGGAGCTGGAGGAGAAAGGTCTTTGTCCCCAGCAGGTGGTGGCTGGGCTGTGGGCTTGCCTGGAGCCATCACAGCCTGGTACCTGCTTTCATGGGAACTAGCAAGACCTTCTTCTGTCGTTCTCTTCAGGGCTCTGTGATTAGATTCTGGTCAGGGATCTCCCCGACCTCCTCCTCTTTGAAGCCCCTGGGGCTGGTGGCCTTTCCACTTGCTCTCACTGCTAACTGGAAGTCAGCTGGCTCTGGCAGGCAGATGGTGATACCCAGGCTTGGCTGGCATCGAAGCTAATATGTAGAGTTCATATGTTCATATTTAGTGAACTCTGAAGGCCAGAGGGCTACTGTTTTTAACGTGGGCATCCTCTGGGCCTTGATTGGATCTGTTTCTTCTAAGTCAGTGGAGCTCCCAGCTGCCTCCTGCTCATCCAGTGGACTGGGAATCAGAACATGCCCCTTGACATCTGAGCCTGAGCTGTGCTGTGTGGAGGGCCTTCTTACTCTGGGCCAGTTCAAAGACATTTGACTGATTCTGTGGCTCTGAGATGTTCTTGGAAATTTGGGGGGCTTTTGTGCCATGGATTTCTGGCCACACTGCCCCCTATATGGAGGGAACAGGACAGGTTTCTGCCTTCCAGCCCAGAGCCCAAGTGAGCAGAAGGATGCACTCCATTTCGGGGAGCAAGAGGGCAAGCAGTGCCCTTGCCCAGTCCGGGACCTCTCGGAGGAGCTGTTGAAACAGCTGCCCAACTGGAAGTCGGGGGTGGAGGAAGCTGAGACTGTCACTTTCAGGGGCTGACTGTGGGGTCGCAGTACAATGTAAAGTTTTGGTAATACTGGTGCTTTGTTTTTTTTTTAAGATTTTATTTTTAAGTAATCTCTGTACCCCAGTGTGGGGCTCAAACTCATAACCCCGAGATCAAGAGTTGAATGCTGCACCCACTAAGCCAGCCAGGCGCCCCTGGACTTTTTAGTAACTGCCAGGAGATGTTGTCAACTGAGACAGCTGTCACCTCCAGCACCCGACACACAGCATTGGCTTAGTCATGTGGGTAATCAGCACCCGGCTGACCTTGACTCCTTTGATATACCATTCCATGAAGGAGCAGTAACGCCGCAGCCTATCCTGTCCTTAACAGAAGACTCTTGGGAGTTTCCTTTTCTCTTTAATTTTTTTTTTAAAAGATTTTATTTATTTATTTGAGAGAGAGAATGAGAGAGAGTGAGAGAGCACATGAGAGGGGGCAGGGTCAGAGGGAGAAGCAGACTCCCTGCTGAGCAGGGGGCCTGATGCGGGACTCGATTCCTGGACTCCAGGATCATGACCTGAGCCGAAGGCAGCCGCTTAACCAACTGAGCCACCCAGGTGCCCCTCTCTTTATTTATTTTTTTAATTAAAGATTTTATTTATTTATTTGACAGAGAGAGGGAACACAAGCAGGGGGAGCAGGAGAGGGAGAAGCAGGCTTCTCGCTGAGCAGGGAGCCCGATGTGGGGCTCGATCCCAGGATCCCGGGATCACAACCCGAGCCGAAGGCAGACGCTTAACGACTGAGCCACCCAGGCGCCCCTCCTTTTCTCCTTAAAACCTTTTTATTTTGAAATAATTTCAATTTCAATTTCACAGAAAAGCTGCAAACATAGTATACGTATAAAGAATTTCTGTATACCCTTCACCCAGATTCACTGTTCACATTTTGCTGCATTTGTTTGCTGTCTCTTTCTGTATGTGTGTGTGCACATATGAATATGCAGAATTTTTGGGGCCCCTGGGTGGCTCAGTTGGTTAAGCGGCTGCCTTCGGCTCAGGTCATGATCCTGGAGTCCCGGGAT